AAAACTTCCAATTGTCTGAACAAAAGCTGAATGGGCTACTATTGGACTTCTTGGTTTCAGAGTTTTTGTCATTTAGAGTTGTCGAGTCAACACCCTTTAGAAATTTAATCACATCACTACAACCAACAAAAACAGTCATTTCTCGAAGAATATTAATGAGGCAAATGAATGAAGCCTATGAGGAAAAAATTAGCCTTCTCAAGTCCCAACTAGCAGCAGTCAAGATTTTCACTATGACTGCTGACATTGTGGAAACAGGTAATTATATAATAAATAATCTCTAAATTTTTTAGTTTCTAATATTCTCACAACTTATAAACAATACATTGTTGGAGGTTTGTTTTTTTGCATTGATTTTTATTAGACTGTCATCATATTTACTATAGTTAATTTTTAAATACTGGAGTTAACCACTTTTGTTATTAAAACAATGTTTGGAAACTGACAGACTATTATTTTATTTCAAAACCTATTTATAAGTCACTGTGAACTGGATAAATGAGGATACACTGTAATGTAAGCACACAGTTATCGCCTGCCATCATACAAAAGGACATCATACCTACAATCACATTGAAAAGGCACTGGAAGCAGTATATGTTTATTACTGTGTCTAGAATAAAATTGTCAAGACTAAAACAGATAATGGCACAACTTCATCAAGGTTTTCAAGTTACGGGCATATTTTATAATTATCTGAATTCGCCTATATATTTAAATTACCAAAAATGTACAATTCCAAGCAATAGCCCTTAGTCAGGTGAGCCGTGACCATGTTTTCCGCAGCTGGTCAACCGGCTCCACAGAATTAGTCCAATTTTTGACATCATGCATGCATTGGCCAATTAGGGAGAAGTTCTAAAATATCACAATAAGAATATATAATTAGAGAGAGAGAACAATCTGTGTTATACAAACACAGGTGTGGGAAGGAATGAAATAATGGGAGGAGAAGAGATATATATTTGCTATATAACAGATATAAGTTACAGCCCACATTCATATAATTATCCCTTTCATGCCTACAAGTCTTCCCTTAATTTTAATTAAATCGTCTGGTGTTAGCCAGAATAAAATATTAAATAGACCATTTGTAATTGTGGAAAAGTTAATTTTATGCACAATATCCAACATACATACTCCTATTTGGATGAGTTTGTTGGATGGTTGTTTTGGTTCATTTGGTCGGATGTCAGATCATAACATTGCCCTTCATGGTTGTGATTATCTGCCTTGTTATTAATTGTCAAAATTATTTTTTGTGCTTTTATGTTGTAAGTTTAAATAATAGATTGATAACTTCTTTTACAGATTGTTTTCCAATGATGCATCCACCATCTCTCCTGACCAACTGCATGGTGATGATGTAGTCATAGATGAAAATTGTGATGATGATGATGAGGTATTGTCTCGTTCGTGTATATGCATTTTGCCAGGCCATCAAAGGTGTGCCTCTCATACATTGAATCTCATTGCTACTACTGATTTAGATAAAGCTTTAAATAATGCTAGTATAAAAAAAAGTGTCTTGATCAGCAATAGCAAAAGCTCAAACCTTATGGAATAAACAGAGCAGAAGCACTGTAACTGCCGACACAATTCAGAAAGAAATAGAAAGATGCTTGGTTGTTCTTTGTCTAACTTGTTGGAATTCAATGTTTGATGCCCTAAGTCATGTAGATAAATTAATATCTAGAAGTGAGTCAAGTGACCAAGCACTAGACTCAGTTTTTGATTAACTGGGCATTTTGTGGCTGAATCCATCTGAGTAAGAGTATATTTTTGAATACATTCAAGTCATGAGACTTATTGTATCTTGCAGTTTGAGAACAAATCATTCATGGGACTATTGATTCCTACCTTGCATGTTTGTCTACCCAAATTGTGTGACTTGAACAATAAACATTTGCAGATTTGTAAACCCCTAGATACCAGGTTTCAAAACGTGTTCAACGATGATGATTCAATTCTTTCAGCACATTTTCATCTTAGTTTCAAGCTCTTCTGGCTTCCAGAAAATCAGGAGGAACAAGTTCAACAAAAAATTATTGCAAAGATAGAAGAACACACAGCACAATATGGTACAGAATCCCATAATTAAAATAGCACGACAGAATCAGATGATGAAGACAATTATTTCAGATGCCTGCAAATAAAGAGGGCAAAAAGTGATGAAGTAGTGGTGCTTTTCTAGATAAATCTCTTGTAAAGTCTGTTTACAATAACACATTTTTAGATATAATCTTAAAGTCAGTTTTCATTTCATTAAATACATCTATTCCATCAAGTGCCATACTTGAGAGGGTTATTTGGGGTTGGAAAAGATGTGGTGAGGGCAAAAAGAAATGAAGTAGTTGGTGCTTTTCTAGATAAATCTCTTGTAAAGTCTGTTTACAATAACACATTTTTAGAAATAATCTTAAAGTCAGTTTTCATTTTATTAAATACAGCTATTCCATCAAGTGCCATACTTGAGAGGGTTATTTGCGGTTGGAAAAGATGTGGTGAGGGCAAAAACTAATGAAGTAGTTGGTGCTTTTCTAGATAAATCTCTTGTAAAGTCTGTTTACAATAACACATTTTTAGATATAATTCTTAAAGTCAGTTTTCATTTTATTAAATACAGCTATTCCATCAAGTGCCATACTTGAGAGGGTTATTTTCGGTTGGAAAAGATGTGGTGAGGGCAAAAAGAGGAGGAATCTGTAAGGCAAGCTTTGAAAGAGTTGTTTTCTTGAAATGTAACAGTGATATTGGCCTCCCAAAATAATCATTTTGACACTACAGTTATTACATGAAGTAA